CATTAAACCTAAAATATGAAAAATCATAATTTTAATAATTAAGTAGCTAAAATGACATCATCGGATGGGACTATTTAAATGCTTTGATATTTTTTAATTAAAGCTTTACCATGATTTAAGTATCCTTAAAATAAAATTACACAGAAATTCCATCACATGATGTGCCCAAAAGAAAAATTATCAGAGATTATCAAATATGGACATGCTTATGAACATTCTTTATAAACTAGAGATAAACATTTGTCAACATTTAAAAATGCCTTCATGATAACAATAACTCTTCAGATGATAAAATGTTCTAATATTTCCATTTGGAATAAATACTAAAAATGTGCAAAGGATTTATGATACATTTGGTGTCTTCCAAAGCAAAGAGTTTCTCCAGTTTATTCTAGCATGGGGAGGGAATGATAAACTGCTTCACAAATAACTACATTACTCACTCATGTGGTAGGATGCCAGTGGCAGTACTTTTACAAAGTTAGAAAATATGAAATTTGCCTGATTGTTCTGTGTTTACAATTTGTTGTTGTTATTATGTGCCGTCACCTCGCCTGCAACTCATAGCAACCCTGTGTACAACAATTCTGAACCCCGCTCTATCCTGAGTCAACCTTATTGTCTCTGACACACCTAACCCCATTTCCCCAGTCACTGAATCAGTCCATCTCATCAAGGGTCTTTCTCTCCTGTTCTGTCCCTTCACCCTTCCAAGCATGTTGTCCCTCTCCAAGGACTGGTCCCTCCTTGCAGCATGCCCAAAGTATGTTTGAAGCTTCAGAACCCTTGCCTCCAAGGAGCAACCTGGTCTTACCCTCTTCAGAGCGAACCTGTTTGTTCTCTTAGCACTCCACTGTATATAAGAAAATAAAAAGCAAGGGGGAAAGAACAACAGAATTTAATCAGTTTATTGATTTATTGCATCTCCTGAGAAGGATGAGCAACCACTGTCCAAGTGATTCACTGCCTCTAAAAACTGCTATGGGTCGGTTCTGACTCAGTAGTACTCAACAACAACATAATTATCATCTATTTAGTGAAAACGCTTGATATATCTAAAGGCATGTAATATAAGGAAGCTCTTGTTGCCTAGTGGTAAGGAGCTGAGCTTCCATACCAAAGACTTGTGATTCAAATCCACCAATTGTTCCATGAGAGACGAGGATAGGCAATTTCTTTCTGTATGATTTACTGCCTCTGAAAACTTGCTGGAGGGTCAGCTATGAGTCAGTTTCAACTCTAAGGCCACACGACAAGTAAGAAAAGAAGAGCCGAATGGGAGAAGATTAAAAGAGTGATTGACATTCAAAAGAAATGTCCTGCAAAGTTCTTGATTAAGAATGCAATGTTCAAGGAAAAATTATACTGATGACAGAATATGTTGTTGTTCATTGTGGTCGAGTCAGGATTAATTCAATCCTCCAGTAGGTTTTCCAACATTGTAAATGCTTGGGAAGAGAAAGCCCATTTTTCTCCCTTGAAGCTGCTAGTGGATTTGAACCACTTACCCCTGGGTTAGCAGCACAACTCCTTATCTAGTATGCCGTAAGAGTTTTTTGAGGGCAAAGTATATTGTTGTTATGTGCTGTCAAGCTGCATGCAAATCAAAGTGACCCTATGTACAGCAGCTCTGAAGGCTGCCCTGTCCTGAGCCAGTCTCGTTCATTCTGACACACCAACCTTCATTGCCCCAGTTACTGTAACAATCCATCTCATCCAGGGTCTTCCTCTCCTGTACTGTCCATCCACCCTTCCAAGAACGATGTCTTTCTCCAAGGACTGGTCCTGGTCTCTTCTGGCCACGTGCCCAAAGTATGTGAGACAGAGCTTAAAAATCCTAGCATCCAAGGAGAGACTTAGTTTCTCTCTCTCCAAGACAGACCTACTTGTTTTCTTGGCAGTCCATGGTATGTTCAAGACTCTTCTCCAGCAACACAATTCGAAGGGCTTTATTCTTCCGTCATCCTTAGTCATTGTCTAGCTCTCAGATGCATAGCAAGTAATTATGAAGACCATAACTTGGATCAGGCTCACCTTAGTGTCTAGTTGACATCATTGCTTTTCAGTACTCTGGAGAGGTCCCTGACAGCAGATTTTCCCAGTGCAATTTGTTTTTTATATTCCTGACTGCTGGACCAAGAGTGCTTATTGTGGAGCAGAGCAAGCTGTAACTGATAACAACCTCAATCTCTTCTTCATCTATCATGGTGCTGCCAATTGGATCAGTGGTGAGAATGTTTGTCTTCTTGATGTTGAGCTTCAATTCGTATTGAAGACTACAGTCCTTGACCTTCTGCAGCAAACACTTCAGGCCCTCCAGTTTAGCCAGCAAGGTTGTGTTATCTGCACAATGTAGGTTGTTGATGACTTTTCCTTCAATCCTGGCCCTACATTCATCCTCATAAAGCCCAGCCCCATGAATGATCTGTTCTGCATAAAAATGTATGGAGACAGGATGCATCCCTGACACACTCTTTTCCTGATTTTGATCCTGGAAACTTATGCTGTGATATAAATAGTTAAGTATGTGTGGATTTAGGGTTTTTTTTTCATATTATAGATATAAATTAAAATTTTTAATGGGCTTTGTTGTTGTTAAGTGCCATTGAGTCACAGGCGACTCATAGCGACCCTGTGAAGGAAAGTCCTTGACGCTTGGGTGCCTTTCATCCTTTCTCCAGGTTCATAGGGTTTCTGGAGGCAAGTTATTATGGAAGTGGATGCCACTCCGCCCTCCAATGGGCTTTAGTTATTTTAATATTAATTTACTATGCATTTAATAATTTAATATTGTTGTTGTTGTTGTTAAGGGCCGACGAGTCGCAGGCAACTCATAGCGACCCCATTAAGGAGAGTCCTCAAAGCTTGGATTTAATAGCTAATTAATTATAATTTAATAGCTAGTTAATTATATGATTACTTTCATATTTCTTATATTTTTTATTAGTCACTGGCTTTATTTATGACTTAAAGACCAGGAACAATTTCCTCAGACCTGAACTTCTTTAGTCTCCTGGTGTGTTGTCTTCCACTCTGACTTTTTCTCCTTTAATACTTGGGTTTTTTTCCCTCCACCATTTAATTTCTCTTACAATACTATGTCTTAGTACTTCTGCTAGTAATCATCACATTGTGCTTTATCATTAAAAGAGTGAAATGACAAAGTGGCTACAGTTGCTGTTTTTAATTCTTCTGCTTGATGATGAAAATATTGACAGTGTTCAGCTTATCAAAACTAATAGCATAAAATGTAAAAGACAGATTAATAGCTGTAAGATTTTACATATACACTTGGAAGGTTTGGATGTGACTTCATTATTCTCAGCCATTATTCTCTTTTGTGGGAATGGAGTTTTTCTTAGAGTTCTATTTTATGGAAGATTGGAAATTAAAAGTACTTTAGAAACAAATAATGTTCATGTATCACAGCTTTTTACTTATACCATCTTTTCTAAACCTGAAAATATTGAATAATTTTTAGCAACGTCAGAATAAGATCTTAGATGTCTGTGTGGCTGTGGTCTCTGTGCTATATAGTTAAGCTCTATGAAGCATAGTTCTCTGTTCTGACATGCTTGAGAGTGCCACAAGTCAGAATTATCTAGATGATATCTGGTTCAGTGTTACTCCTTTCCTCATCCCCTACTCCCTTATTTCTTTCTTTTACTCCTTTCTAGAGGACCACTATAGAAAGGAACAGATTAGATGAGAAGAATGAACACTGAATCTGGCATCAGGTAACTTAGAATGTCACAGGCACCACATATTAAAGTATGATAATATTAACTTAGAGGAAAAGTATCAAAACAGTAAGACAGACACAGTATTTTTAAAACATGAGTACAATTTTAGTTCCTTTCTAAAGCTACAGACTTCTCAAAAGATTATCACATAACAAAAACATGTTTAAGAATGGTCTAATCTTTAAAATTTTTGTTTTAACGAGGAAGGAATACTGATAATTCTCATTTTTTTTGTTGTTCTTTTTCTAGGGGAAATTGGATTGGAGAAGCGCCCTATAAAGTAGGGGTACCATGTTCAGCTTGTCCTCCAAGTTACGGAGGATCTTGCACTGACAATCTTTGTTTTCCAGGAGTAACGTCAAACTACTTATACTGGTTTAAATAAGCTTATCTTTTCCTCCAGGAACTATAATGATTTCTGGGAATCATAGTCGTATATGTATATTGAATTTTGCACATTTTATACATATTTTATAATAATCTTATTTTACTTTTGTTATTCATTTGTATAAATTAATGTTTGTTTGGTATGTTTGTTAAATTTTTTAAGGTAAACAAAATGTGGTTTCTATTTCTGATTTGTAAACCTAAAATATTGTGTATGTGGTGATGTTATAGTTAATGAATGCTATACCATACTGACTTTCCAAGGAAACTAGGTTATTATTTTCCTAAAATATAACCTGCAATGTGGACCACATGCACACACATAATGTATGATGCAACACACCTATAATAATATGATTTAATGATTATTTCAAGGCAAACATTTTTTAAAGTATATAAAATACGTATGAGGTTGTAGCTATTCTCAGCAACTATTTCTATAATATATGCAGTATGATAATTTGTAAAACAGCACTCAGAAACATCTGCAAATAATAATTAAATTAAGCAACCAAGCATTTTGAAAATAGTTTATTTAGGTACAGCAAAAGGTATGTGCAACTTGTTTAGGTATTTCAATTGTGACTTTCCTTAGTCATTTTTTTAAAAATTTAGTAATCATGTGTTGACTGCTTAGATTGAAAAAAAAGTCTTCTGGCAGTAAAGATAATGCACAGGTGGAATATGCTTCTTCCCCACAAGTTGAGGAGAGTCTTTAGAAAATTAGTGTAACCCAGAGATTTGCTGTAAAATTGTTATTTTATTTATTTTTTTACAAAGATTAAAAAAAAAACCACCCAGAAAGTTAATCTCACACACACACACACACACTTTAAGAGCTTCAGTGGAGCTTACTTGAGGGTCAAAGACATCTTGAGGCCTAATAGAAAGTGAAAGATGCCAGTAACGAGCATAGTGATGCTGAGGGCCTTTGTTGGTTGTCTTGTCTTTATTTGACGAAAATCTGTTTGCCAAGCTGTATCTTTGAAAGTTGCACAAAAGATACTGTGTGAACAACATAGGCAATTATGATCTTAAAATATCCCTTTTCAGATGCTTTCCTAAGGACCCATTGTCACATTTTATTTCTATGGGCATCACTGAAGGCAGCAGTTGATCCTCGGTCCAAGTACTTTAAATAACAGTTTTCAGCAGCTCCAAGGCAGAATGGTGGACATTCTTCTCACATGTTATTTATAACCTCAGAAACCCAATGGAGGGTGAGCTATGAATCAGTTCTATTTTGACAGTAATGAGTTTGTGCTTCATTGGTTTGTTTTTACTGGTTAGAACAAGGCTAGCACTTTCAATAAAGAAGATAAAAATGTCTTAGGTACAAAGCTTTGAATGTATAAAAAAAATCCAAATAAATATTTGGGCGTAGATTAGAGATGTTGTTGAGTACTCTTGAGTCAGACTGACCTATAGTTGACCCTCCAGCAGGTTCTCAGAGACATTAGATTACAAGAGAGGAAAGTATACCTTTCCTTCATGGAGCACTTGGAGGATTTGAACCACATATGTTCAAGTTGGCAGTGTAGCTCCTTACCACTAGGCCACCAGAACTCTCTTAGATTAAAGTAGAACTATATATTTATCATTTTAAAAGCCAGATGAAAACTGACAGGTGTATTTTTTTAATTCCGTCTGTACCTTTAAAAGTGATTCAAAATTGCTATGTGAAGTGTTTAATTTTCAGGCTAAAGTAAATCTCTCACTGGTTGAGTCAAAATTGACTCATAACTGACCCTTCATTGTATATCTAAAGACTTCTTCCTTCCATGGAGTTGCAGGTGGATTTGAAATGCCAGAGAATCATGGTGTTTGAGTTTGCAGCTCCAACTCCATATAGACTACACCACCAGAACTCCCTAAAAGCAAATGATAGTATACAAGGATCAACACAAAATGTGATGTTTTTCACGGCATTCAATAATGGTGCTAGGACAGCGATTTCTCATTGTAATGTGCAAAGGTGGCAGGTATAAAGTATTTTCTAAGTTGTTGTTATGTATTCTTGAGTTGGAACCAACTCACAGCTGAACCTTCAGTAGATTTTCAGAGGCTGCAAATCACACAGGAGATTGCTGCCTATTCTCCCAGGGAGCAACTGGCACATACAGAGTGCCTGCCTTTGATATGGCAGCACAACTACTTATCATCAGGCTACCAGGGCTTTGAAATAGTCAACATCAAGGTTATTTGAAAGGTCTTCCTTTCTGTACCATGATCCTGCCTACAGTATAGATTTTTTTCCCCACACTACCCCTTATTGTTTGGTGCCAGCAATTCGACTCCAGCTTATAGTGACCCTCATGTGACAAAGTAAAACCACTCATAAGGTTTTGTAGGCTGTCATTTTTACACAATCAGATTGCCAAGTGTTTCTCCTGAGGAGCACCTGGATGTGTTTAAGTCATAACCTTTTATTTAATCACTAAATGTTTAATGCTTGCACCAGGCGGCCTCCTTCACTACCCATTTTCTTTTCATTGCTGCCAAATGAGTTTAAACTGCTAGTGGACTTTCTAGCTCACATCCAAGGCTGTAAATCACAACGGTGGAGAATGCCCATCTTTCTCCCTAGGTGCAGCGGTGGATTCAAACCACTAGAGAAGCACAATTTTGGGTTAGTTATGTAATTTCCTATGGACTAAGCCACCGGAACACTGTAATCAGTCAGTAGAACTGTTGGGGCGGGGGGGGGGGGCGGGGAGGAGGAATCTGTCTTAATGTACATGTTCTGTTCTCTACATCCCTAGAAATTTTATTTTACATACTAAATTGATGGATTTCTTCATAAAATGGTTACAATTATATGGGTAAGGCTTAGATGTTCCAGATGGTGCTAGATATACTTGTTTTTAAAATGTGGCAGAACCAATTGCAGTCGTTACCATTTTAACTATCTTTTTTGCATTTGTCCAGTGGTGAACGAAAGCAGAATCACTGCTGTGGCTATCAGAAGATGGCTACCACAGTCATGAAGGGGACAGTGTTTTTGAAAGATCCATGCACTTTTTTCAGGAATAGATTAAAAATTATGACTTTAACCAGTGTCATTTACTCAGAGTATTTGAATTAAGACACAGATTTTTCTTAATCAGTTGTAGTAACACTACTATTAAGCACTCGACTGCTAGCACAACAGCTGGCTGTTTCACCCTCCTCGGGAGATCTGCTTCACCCCTCCATCTGTTTCTGTAAAGATTACAGCCTAGAGAACCTCTTGGGAAAGCTTTACTCTCACATGGGGTATCTGTGAGTTGATCTTGGCTCAACGACATACATCAGTAACAGAGATATTTGTGTTAGTTCAACTTTTGGTGTAGACATAAATAAATTCAATGCATATGCTCAGCCAGTTTTAAGTATTTTGAGCTCATATCAATACACAAATGCAACAGTTACTTTGAATGAGCCTGTAAAGGAAGCAATACATACAGTTCAATCTCAGTGTTCTCCCTGCATAATAACATTCTCGAGGTTCCGTTGTTTCACAGGGTGTGTACTTTAATAATCTTTTACATATCAGAGTGTGAAATTAGATTTCTATCAATGTCTAACATTATTTTTGCTTTTATGTTCTATTTCTTTTGCCTTCATGTTAATATTGTATGTTTGGAGCAAGATACTCAATTTTTTACTTTATCAAAACATTCTTAACTACCATTCAAAAGACTTTTAAAAAACTTGTAATGGTTTAACATTGACTTAGGAGAGGTCAGTCAAAAACTTAGAAAGTTTTATAATTTTTTTGGTAATGGTGCTGAAAACACACTGTACTCACCGTGCCCTTGCTGCATTTTTTAGGTTTATTTGCAACTAATATTTTTATTGAGTGCTAACTATCAATATCTGACTTGGTGCTAAAATATATGGTGCTAAATAAACTGTTAGTGTCAATTCCTTTACTGATGCTCTCTTTTATCATTATTAAAACTTAAATTTATCCATTCAATTCTCGATTCAGAAATTCTAAGTAAAATTCTATGTTAAATTAATTTTAACTGAAAACATGGTAGTGGGTTCTATATTTTCCTCTAACATTGAGCATTATTTAAGTGCTACAGTGTGTAAATATATTTCTTTAGAAATTATCAATGTTTTTTGTGTGCGGTTTTATTTTCTTTTTAAAAAATGTCACCTGAGTTCTTGAGTTAGGGTAGCGTGACTCTAATTGTGGTGTAGACACTGGCTCCCTCTGGTGGTTATCATACGAATACAACATGCTACTTCCAGAGCAAATCATTTCCGTTCAATTAAAAAACAAGTCACTCAGCATTAATGTTACTCCCCAAACATGACAACATTTTAAAATATTTAACTCTATTGGCATATTTTTAAAATTAGTTAGTGCATCTTGCACTCATTTTCTGTTCTGTGAAGCTTAAATTAATGTATTTTGGTGTTTTACCTTTAATTCCCTTTTAATTTTAGACTAGATGTTACTAAAGTATATTGTCCAGCTGGCTTATGTCATATTTAGCATATGGTAAGAAAACAAAATTATAACTGTATCTCACTCTAAAAAGTAATATTTTGTTTTATTTGAGTTAGTACATACAGAAAATACATTGGTAGAATAATTTTTCACAGAAAAAGTGTTATCTCCCTACGTTTTTATGAAGGGCTATAATTTATCAGTATTAAGGTCATATGACTAATATAATGATGGAATTATATTCATTTAGTCCAGAAAAACAAATGTATATAAACACTTAAAAGGCCTGTATCTATAGCATTGTTCTGAGTAAAATTTCAGCTAAAATATTTAATTAACCAGATGTGATAAACTTCTTTTAACAGAGTTTTTGTTTGGGTTTTTTTTTTTTTATTACACTAGCACAACCAGGCAAATAGCTCTGAAGCAGGTTTGGACATTTGTATTTGCAGACTTATTTTAAAGCAATGGGATTCTGTAAAAAATAAATAAATAATATCACATACAAAACATGAACAAAAAAAATGGGCCTTCTTATCGATCTCACCTCTCCCCAAACCTACAATATTTCTTTTTATGGCCTGAGGATTCAAAAAAACAACAACATTGAATTAAATTATCTAGGCCCTCCTTAAAATGAGGACCTAAATTATTGGATAGTTCTGTTAAATACCCAGTTCAGTTTACATGTATTGGCAACCTCTTAGTTTTAATGA